CTAGGATGATACCTGGAATGGGGGGATTGTCCTATGAGGAGAGACTAAAATCTATAAACTTGTTTTCTCTGGAGAGGAGAAGAGTCAGAGGGGATTGAGATTTTTAAGAATATTAAGGGTATTGATAATATATATCCATCAAACTTTTTTGTGTTTAGAAGTGAAAACAATAGGACAAGGGGTCATAAATTCATATTTTGGCAGTGTAGGAGTCATCTGCAATTTAGACAGTATTACTTTTCAAACAGGGTGGTTGGCGTTTGGAATGAACTGCCTTCAATGGTGGTGGGGCAGAAAATTTAACTGAGTTCAAGAAAAGATTGGATGAATACATGAGTAGTAAGGGATGGTTATAGTTGGGAACTGGAAGGGACATCATTGATGGGCTAATAAGCTCCTTTATATCCATTTAAAATTTTATGAATTTATTTTTATAAAGTGATCAGGCCAAGTGGAATTAAATAACTTGGACATGGGTCTGCTACTAGTGCTACTGCTACTACACAGTCTACAGCAGTGTCTAGGGACAGGGCCTAGTGGAGGTCTGGGAGGGAATATTCCTAGTAACTACAGTGTTGTGCATGCACTGGCATGCTTTAGATGTACATTAAGCAATTGAAATAAACATTTATTTTGCCACAAAAATATTTTCTTACCTCACTGGCATGTAGGCTAGGATGCTCGAGTTACAATTTGCAGATCACAGGTTCGAATGCCCATCATTGAACATGTATGCCCTTTCAGCCATGGAAGCATTATAATATGATAATCAATCCCACTATTCATTGTTGAAGAGCCAAGGGTTGACAATGGGTAATGTTTTCTAGCTGCCTTCTGTGTAGTTTACCCAAAATTTATTGTGAATGTTTCCACTGGAGAGTTTATTAATATCATGCTAAGCATCACATTCAATATTTATGGTTGTGAATTCATGGAATTCATTTTAAAAGAAAGTACTCAGTTTTGTGTAGTCTGTATATGCTTTTATGTTCCATTTAGATAGCATTCATCATGATTAAGGAAAATGTAATTTTTTGTGAACTCCATATGTGTACCACTTTTTATCTATGGCAGAGCCAAACAAGCTCAAGAACAATCAATGTCATATATTTAATATTCTTTTGTAAGATTACGGTTATTCATCAGAATTCCTGAATTTGACTTGCAACTAGCAAACTTTTAATTGTTACATGGCCACCAGTTTGTGACCAGATGAATATCTAAATGTTTTTTTTTGGTGCTCAGCTGCTAGGCAAATAACCTTGTATATTTTAACAATGCAATAACAGTTTGTACTTATTATGATGAAGTTGTTCTTTTTGAATAAGCTTAAGTATTTGTTATTTCTTGTAAAGTTAGAAAAATGTGTTATCTGGCTTATCAGTAAATGATATCACTTCATTAGTTTGTTTAAAATAGAGGTATAGAGCCAAGTAACATAGCCAATGAACAAAACTTTACATTTGATTAGTGTCAGGTTTTCCCTTTTATTTATATGTTTGAGATGTATTGTAATATGAGTATAATTGGTGTCTGTAAACTCAGTTGGCTGCACCAGTAAATAATTATCCTGCATAAATACAAATTTCCCTCCTGATTAGAATTTCTCATCACCCAAGGACTGACCTAACCTGTCACAAGTTTTTTAACACCTAAACTGCAACCCTGGAGAAACTGATTCATTGGTCTGGTTCTGACCTAAACAGTTATAGCATTTTACTTTACTTTGTATAATATCTTATATACATTGCAAACTATGGTACCTGTCCGAGCATTTCTCTGTGTCTTGTATGAAAAGCTGTGCGCACAGGCAAAGATCAACATTCACTTTTGAAAAGATGGAAGAGCAAGCATGAATAATGTTGATGCCAAATTTTATTTTGCAAACAGGATACTCTACCTAAATTATTAGGAATTTATCACACTATCATACACATTTGAAAATGTGACATAACTTAAAGAATATAAATGTACAATTACCATATGTTATTATTGAGTGGCTCTTAGCATGACTGAAATACTCAGCAATTACTATTCGTGGTTGGAGGTATAAGTGGCTCAGAGCTTTGGCTCTCAGTGAAACCAATAGTGCAACACAATTAACCTTTTTAAAGTCCATGAAATAAATTGATAGATTAACTTAAACTTTTCCCATCACCAGGGGCTGGTACTTTTACTAGATTAACTTAAACTTTTCCCATCACCAGGGGCAGGTACTTTTGATAGATTAACTTAAACTTTTCCCATCACCAGGGGCAGGTACTTTTGCTAGATTAACTTAAACTTTTCCCATCACCAGGGGCAGGTACTTTTGCTAGATTAACTTAAACTTTACCCATCACCAGGGGCAGGTACTTTTGCTAGATTAACTTAAACCTTTCCCATCACTGGAGACAGGTACTTTTGCTTGTAGTATTATAGGACTGAGTACTAGACACAGGTGTTAGTCATTGTATTATTTTTGTGCTCAGTTTGAAAGTAACACAAATTTCTGGGTAGTGTTGCAGTTTTGCTAGTAAAAATTTGGAATACACTCTACAAAAATTGCTAGCATACTATTTAAAAGGAAGATTTACAGTTGAGTGCCATACATCCATGCACTTCATTCACTTATGTTAAAAGATTTTGAGTACAGAGGGTTACTAAATTTGTAATTAACAAGGTTCTTTTACTCAACTGTGACGTACTGGTTTTGCAATCCTCACTTGAGCTGCATGGTATATCCAGGCTAAGTATCAGGAAATTATACTGCAGTGCAGTTTTGTTTGAAGTATGTTTAGAAATATTTTACCTAAGTAGATCCTTATTGAAGGCAATAATAAGATAGAAATCACTTAAACTGCAAATTTTTTTTTCTCACATTCCTTTTTGTCCATGATTAGCACAAATGTTTATTGATTTCTAATGCTTTGCCAACTTTCAGTTGTTAAACTATAACTTTTAATAATAAAACTTTTTTAGTGTTGGGTGTCTGTAAACAGTAGGACACTGTAGACTTTCTCGATCTAAACCTTGTAGCTTAGATACACCAGTCTCCACCCAAATCAAGCATTTTTAACTTCTGTGAAATAGTTAAAAACTGTTACATGTAATTAAAACAAGTTTTGATATTCAGTGATATGAAAACACGACACAGAAGATTTATTCATATAAATATGATATTTAAATATTTATGAACATTTAATACATGAAATAATTGTGACTTACTTACAGTTAATTTAAAAAAAAAAATAAGGCTGTTACTAGTAGCAGTACTAAGTTTGCTAGTAGGAATGAAAAACTAGCATCCAATTTTCTAGTGCCTTCAAAAATCTAGGTTAAGGCCTGCAGATATTTTTAGAAATAAATAGATTTGAGTTTCTTCTTTTCAGAAAGCCAACTTTGAAGCCATTAGACAATATTTATCTTTAGTAAATTGGAATAATGAGTTAAAAGGTGGTATACAACAGATTTGGGAAATTAATAAAAAGATTTTTTAATTCAAGATAGAACATATTCACAAAAAGAATAGTAATTAGTGTACTAAAGATATGAAGGAAAAATTCAAGGTTAAATACCATAGGTTTAAAATTTTATATTTGACAGAAAAGTTGGAAAATGTAAAGAACTGTGGTAAAGTTAAGTATTTAGTAAAAAGTAAATTAGGAAATCAAAAAAGAGTGTATGAGAAGTAGTTGGCTTATGATGTTAAAATGGGGATTGGGTTCTTAATAGATGCTAATAGCAAGGTTTTTGTTGAAGAGTACAAGATGATCTAGATTTTAAATGTTCTGTTTTTTTAAAGGAAATATATTAGTATTCTCAATCCAGAGCATTCAACGGGAAGTATTGGAATTGACTTCAAACATATAGATATGAATCTCTTGGTAGATAAGTCTCATTTTCAAGAGCTTTTATATTTTCAAACTCATGTTTTTTTTTCTACCAAGCTGTAAGTTATCATCCATATAATACATTCACAAAACATTCTACCAAGCTCCAGGTTATCATCCATATAATACATTCACAAAACATTCTACCAAACTACAGGTTATCATCCATATAATACATTCACAAAACATTCTACCAAACTACAGGTTATCATCCATATAATACATTCATTTTGCCAAATTCCAGGTTATCATCCTTATCATGCATTTACAGAACATTCTACCAAGCTGTAAGTTATCATCCATATAATATATTCACAAAACATTCTCTCATGAATGTAACCAGCATCATACTTGGTGAAGATTGATTAGAAAACATTTTTTAAAAGCTCATCAATTTTAGAGTCATCAACAAGAACTTAATCCTCGTCCCTCTGAAACCCAGTTCCCATTCTCACATTCTGCTTAGCAATAAGATATCTGAAGGAATACATACTATTTCTAATAATCCATGCAACCTGTTTTTCATAAGTTTTTTCAATATCTTAATTTAACTTTTAATTATTCTCTAGTTCTTGTGTAATCCTCTGAATCTTCTATCATTTATCAGTTAAAATTTCATGAGTTTTATAATCTTTACCTCCAAAGTTATCACTTGTGTTAATGTTAAGCCACTGAGTCATAGCAACCATTTTGTTCGTAGGTGAAACATGCTTTTCTTGAATTAAAAGCACTTTTTTATTTTAGAGATATTTGTAGTTATGTTTATTATTTTAAAACTAAACTTATACCAGATTGTAGAAGATACAAGCATTTAATTTTTCTTTTTTATTATCATTTTCTGTATTTTTATAGAAATAATTATAAAGAAAATCAGTGAAACATGGAAGAGAAAAATACAGAACAACTTTCAGAGCTCTCTGATTTCAAGATTGACAGGTAAGTAGAAAAAGTAAGATTTTGTGTATTGAAGTTCAGTATTTTTCTGATATGTTTGGAATCATTCTTAATAGTAGACAAAGCTAAACTAACACCAGTGAAGATAATTGTAAGTAATGTTGGATATTGATTAAAAAAGAGTATTTGTATTTTGTTTTGTTTTAACTGAAAAGTTTCAATAATTGTAAATCCCTAAGTGTTTAATTAAATGTTGCTACTGATAGTGGTTATTGTAAATGAACATATTGTTTAAATAAATGTAAAATCTGATGAAAAAAAGAACGAATTAGAAGGTCTCTGAGTGAGGTGTTTAAGATTGTAAAGGGAAGTGTAGGGTTCATAAATCATATTTTTCCATACCTAATGGTGAGAATAGTGAGTCTAGGGGACACAAATATAAATTTTGGTAAGGTAGAAGTCATCTTCTGCTAAGAAAGTTTTATTTTTCTATCAGGGTGGTTGTCCTTAGGAATGGGTTGCATTTGGATGTTGTGGAGACAGTAAATTTAAGTAAAACTTGATAATTGTATGAATGGTAAGGGCTGGATTTAATTTTTTTTAATTTATTTATTTAATATTTTTTTCTTTAGTTTAGAGGATGGGACAGATAAGATGAACCAACAGATCTGTTGTTGTCCCTAAACATTATGTTTTTTGACTATCCAACAAAACTTTACTTTGTTAAATGACTTTGCAAACCTTCTTTTATCAGACTTTCTAAAACTTTTCCCACAAATGATGTAAGACTAATATGCCTATAATTACTGGGACAATTTTTATTACCTCCCTTGAAAAGAGGAGTGACATTAGCTAACTTCCAATCCTCTGACACCTGCCCATTATTCAAGAATTTACAAAAAATAGCAGCAAATGGCTCACATATCCAATCCTTAGCCTCCTTCAAAACACTTGGGGAAATATTATTTAGCCCAGGAGCCTTATCATTCTCTAAACTTCCCAATTTTTTCATAATTAGCTCAGAATTAATGCAGTCATCTTGTTTGACTTTGTTTCTATCTATCAACTGTTCAAGATTATGAATACTGCTTAAAAATACCCCAGCCATCTCATAATCACAGATACAAGCCTTCCTTTATCATCCCTCAACGGTCCTACCCCATCCTAACATTTTGTTTACACTTAATGTATTTAAAGAAATCCTTACTGTTAATTTTTACATTTTCAGCCAACATTTTTTCCTAGATCCTTTTTGATGTTCTGATTTCCTGTTTGATCAACTATCTTGATCTCCTGTCATACCAGTCAATTTAAATTTCTTAAATTTGTGATGCTTTTCTTTAATATTGTCTCTTCGTGCTTTGTTAACAACCTGGTTTATTTTTACTTGCAGCCACTCATTTCTTTCTATAAGGAATATGTTTATCTTGAACATTTAAAACTTATCTTTTAAAAATTTTTTACATTTGATCAGTGTCTTCAAATGATTCAGCTTCCCAATTCAAAACAAATAATTCTTGTTGCATCCCTTCAAAATCTGCTTTTTTGAAATTTGTAACCAAAATATCATTATTCCTGATCTCCATATGCAGCAAAACATCAAACCTAATAAAGTCATCATCATTTGCACCCAAATGTTTCCCAATTTCCACCCTCTCAACCATTTCTGTATTAGAAGTTAACAATAACTCTAAGCTATCATTGTTTCTAGTAGGTTCCTTGACCAATTGGTAAAGAAAACCATATTGAACTGTTTCTGAAACCTTTCTCCGTTATGGTTTGACTCTAGCATTTCACAATCTATACGCTTGTAATAAAATCATCTATAATTATGATCTCATTAATAGCTGAAATCTTAATCTCATTGTAAAGTTTCTCACTAATTTCATCAGTATCATCTGGTGATCTGTAACAAATTCACACTGAAAACCTTTTCCATTTATATCTGCCAATAGAAACCCAAATGGATTCAATCTCTTTTTATCAATAAAGCTACTCCTCCCCTTCACTTCAGTACTCTATCCCTATTAAATAACTTGTAACCCTGTATTTCAAAGAAATTTCTGTCACTAACATTATCTACTTTTAACCATATTTCAGCTCTTCTCATTATATCAAAATCCTCCATTCCTACCAGTGACCTAAAGTCATTTATTTTTCTGAAACGGTACTATTCCTTCTCCCCCATAGTTATCTTGACCTTCATTTGCCCTCTAGAAATTGGCAAATCTTATGAACAGCACACCAGTCTTTTATACCCCTATATTTTTTTGCATCATTGCAGCAACATGTGCTTATCATGTGACCACCCTCACCAATCCTATTGTGCCCTCTTTACTAGTGCAGGTAGCTCCCTCTACCATTGCAGCACAATCCTCATTTTCAAGAATTGGCATATACAAACCTGAAAACACCAGCAAATCAGTGGGGAGGAAGTGGGTAAGCAGAGGTAAATATCTATCGGAAATACATTTTCAGTGTAAGGAAATGTTAACTTTTCTTATACTTCTAGCATTACAATAGTAACACTTAAGCCTACCTTTAGCATTAGTTCTATACTCATGTCCAATTTTAAGCTTTTCTCTACATCTTATGTTTTTGCATTTAACTTATCCTGGCCCTCACCACTGTCTAGTTCTAGTTTAAAACTACCTTTACAGATGAGTTAATAGCCCTTGCAAACAAGCCAGTCTCTACCCTATTTAAATGTAAACCATTCATTCCAAAAGCTCCCTTTTCTCATTGAACTGATCCCACAAGTCCAACCAGCCAATCTGAATCCATACATTTTAACCTAAATCTAGCATTTAGCCCTAGTGACCTACTTCTATTATGGTCTTACCTCCTTTCACACAAAGATATCTCGATTTTCTTCTGCCCTCTAAGCATTGCTAAAAGATTTTTGCAATCAGTGCACCAGTATATATACCCCATCAATTTTGAGCTATTTCTGAACATGTACAATATCATGTGACTTCTCTCCACCAATAGTATTGTGCCATCTATTTTGGCACAGCTATCTCCTTCTGCTATTCTCGCTCAATCTTCACTTTCTCAACTGGCACAGCATTGTTTAGACACGTGTTTTTTTGCAAGTGGCTACCATTTATGAACGTGCTTCTTTGCCTTTTATTTTCAACAGTTTTATTTTACTGTGTTTGCATTCACTTGAATGTATCGACTACAGAAGTTCCTGTTACAGTCAAAAATGCTACTGGTATGACTTCCCAGGAATCTGGTTCGACTTTATCTGCAGAGGAGGTACAGGCCTTAATTTGCAGGGAGCTAGATTCCTGTGTTCGGCTGGTGATTTCTTCTTCTTCTTTTCAATGTGACAATGTTTCTGAGCAAGAATACTATCAATGAGAAAACAATTTGGACTCTCTTTTTCTGGTACCTTCTTATTTTGGTCTCTCACATTCTACACTTCTTCAGGAGTTTTCACCTTCCACCAGTTAGTTGCTGTGCCACCACATCATTCATTTTGGTGGAAAACTGTCATTTCTTACTATTGCTTCCATTTCTCCCATAGGATCTGTGGTAAGTTTTTCAACATATACACTTCATGCCTAGTTGATACACCTGTGGTATGTGTGGCTCAGATGCTCTTTGTGTTGCTTTGCTCTTATTTACACATGGAAAAATTAAGTATTTCACATCATCAGTACTCAGACTTTGGTAAGTTAAATATTTATGTGTCCTTTGTCATCTAATATACTATAGATGAATTATAAGTTAGTTATTGATTATTTCTTTGTATCTTTTTAAGTTAATCTAATTGTTTTGCACATTTGTTAACATTACATACTTTGTAGACTCGGCAAAGTTCGTGGGTTTGTTAGTTTGTTATTAATAACTACTTTAACTAGATATGTTTGGATTGTTTGTAAGCTACATATCATTATTACTAGTAACATGTAATCCATTGTTCTGTTTGAGTAATTTTTTTTTCGTCATTGTTATGCATGTGCCCTATCATCCTAATTTTCATCATTGCAGGACTTCATTATGAGTCCTTTGTCATCTAGGTTAATTTAGATGAACAGTAATTTAGATATTGATTATTAATGTGTTTTCTAGGTAATTTTTGTCAGTTTACACATTTCTTATTATTACATACTTTGTGGACTAGGTAAATTTAGTGAGTTTGTTTGATATTTATAAGTACTTTTATTAAGTAGGTATGTTTAGATAGTTTGTATGTTACATATCATTACTACTAGTAACATATAATTCATTGTTCTATCTGAATAGTTTTTTTTTTCATTATTGTTAACTATGTACCTTATCATCCTAATTTTTTGTTACTTTAGGACTTTAATTTTTTTGGCTTTTTTACGTTGTTGACTTGTTCATTTCTTTCCCATTCGTAGGGTTGAGGTTTGCTTTGACTCCTTTTCCAATGTTCCTGATACTAGAAACCTCATTTTCTCCTTGTAATCTACAAATCAGAGTTCTTCTCCACAGTGTTCACTTTGTCGATAGTTATTTATTGCTGTACATTGAGTTTTCCTGTTCAGGGCTCTACCATTCAGACTAGTCTCAGCTCTTTAAGTGGTTTGTCATTTTTGCACTCTTCTTTCTATGGATGACAGCCTCCTGCTTGCTTCTTCATATTCAAAGTTTAGAGACTACACTCCTCTGCTCCTACAGAAAGCAGCATGTGTGGGATTTCTTATGAAAGTGGGGAAGTCCATTCTTACCTCCTCTCAATATCCAGTTAATTGGGGGGATCATCTTTCCAAACACAGTTGAATCCAGTCTTTTCTTCTTCATCTTCAGGTTTAGAGCATGCAATTCACACATCCCTCACCACACATTTCTTACAACTCGAGATGCTCTATCTCTTTGGGGATGTGGGCTTCCTTGGAAGCTCTCATTTTCATGGATCGGGCTCATATGTGTTCCCATCAGTTCCCATACCCTGGCTTTCTACTCCATCTCATCCGGATTTATATCTGTGCATGGACTCGTATATAGAGAGTTGGGGTTCTTGCCTTGACTGCTGGGAGATTTCCATCCTCTGATCAATCTGGGAGTTTTTTCTCTATATCACCATTCTCAAGCCTTTGGCAGTTTGTTAAGCTTTATCCCATTTTCTTCCTCTCCTATGGGGGGTGCAGGTGGTTATGGTACATTCAGACATCTCCACAGTGGTCATTTATACCACTGCACCAGGGGGTACCAATTCCAGGTCTCTGTGTTTTCAGATCCTGGATCTCCTTTTTGGACCCACAGTCACCACATTTTGGTCTAATCTTGCCATTTTCCTGGCTTCCAACAAGAGTCTCTCACAGAGTGGTCTCTTGATCCACAGGTCTTTAGGTGGGTATGTTTTCAGCTGGGAACACCTCATATATACCTTTGCCACCCACTGGAACACCATTGTTCCTTCCATTTGTTCTTCCGTTCCTCTGGGGTGGTTGCATTCTGATAAGTTTGGAGGGATTTTCACATCGATGTTTACACTCCTTCTATTCTTATTTCACACAACTCTGTGTCTCGTCCTACTGGTGACCCTTTCTTGGCTGGTGCAATCATCATTCCTACTGCTCTGATATTTACTTCTACAACCTCCTCTACCCTTACCTCTGTCTCAGTCCCTATTCTATTAACCTCAGTTGGACATTTTTCATCCAGATGTCACCACACCCTGTTTTCATGCATGGCTTTTGTTAGGTTAATTATCTCAGCCCAGAGACTGACTCCACGTGTTGCATCTTTTTTTCCCAATCTATTAGATTTTCTTCCATGTTCATTTACCACAGGCAATGGTATACTTTCCGCCTTTTCTTTGACATGATTTTCATCGTTCCCACCATTCCATTCCTCATCTTTCCTTATTTTTCACCTGGTAGTATGACAAAGGTTTGTCCACTTTGTCTGTGTCTAGCTATTGGGTAGCCTTGTCGAACACCTTTTGTTTCTCAAGGTTTTGTCATCCCCCATCATTTCCCTCCTTTTCTCCATTCCTTTCAAATCATGGATCCTCCACTTTCATTTGATTTGCCTGACTGGGATCTCAGTGTGGTCCTTTATGCCTTTCCTGTCTTCTCTTTGAACCTTTATTTTTATGTTCCATCTACCATCTCTCCCTCAAGACAGATTTCTTTCTCCTCCCTGCTTGCGGACATCATCTATCAGCCTTTTCTGCCTTTAATGTTATCTGCTTCCTCTACCATTCCTCTTATGTTGTATTATATCCCAGACAGTTCTTCCTCCCTCAGACCTATGCTGCCTGTGAAGGATGTTTGGTTTTCGCATCCATTTCCTTTACTTCCATCTCCCACCAGTACTCCCATACCAATCCTGATTGGCTTCCTTGTTTGGTTTGCTCCTTATAGTGTTATGTGGCATGTCCTGCCTCATTTTGGGGTTCATGTTCCTGACTTTATTCCCTAAAATCCATCCATTTCACATGTTCTATTCCCTGTCATGTCAACTAGTTGGGTTTGTCAACTCATTAGGCAGGAGTATTCGGACTTATCGATGGAAGGCCACACAATGTTTCTTCGCATCATATTCGTCATATCACCTTATCTTTTGCTACTTGCCTTCACTGTCCAGTTCAGGAGATCTGGCTGTATCTTCCTCTTGTGGATATCATCTCCCTCCCATGGCGATTCTACACATGCCCATTTGCCTTTGACTGGGGTTAGTCTTATCCCTTTCTTTCATTTATGTTTTTATTTTCAGCAACAATTTTCTAGGATCTGCCTGACCCTAGCTATGGTGCTGAGATATTTGTCATTCCTACACTTCTTTCTGGAAGCCTATCAGCAATCAACACATCAATCTGATGAGAAATTGTGACCATTGTTAGCATCCACCTTGATTTGATTGTCAGCTTCTGCACTTTTCTTAGTCTCTTGGCTGGTATGTTGTTGGGATTTGTTGGGTAGAGATGCATTGTTGGAGGGTGTTCGTGAATTATGTGAGGCAACTTTAATTTTTGCAGGTGTTCCGGAATATTTTGAATCAAGGGTTGATGTTGTCCATCTGCATTCATCCCTTTCCTCAGCTTCTACAGGAGGGGGGGTTCATAGTTCCACCCCTATTTGAGTTTTCCAACCCACAACATCAGGCCCTCGGGCCATTGGTATGCCCTTACCCACAAGGTTCCTCCACTCAGTCAGAATGCTGTCAGCAGCAGTGGTGATTACCATATGCCTTTGGGGTCTGTGGAGGCTCAGTTCTGAGAATTTATGGACGTGTAAAAAACCTTTACCATGGATCCATGGATACTACAGGTACTTACGTCGGGATTAGTCATTCAGTTCACATCTACACCACCATTATCCCTTTAATTTGTGGTGTTTCTGCCTCCCACAGATACTCAGATTTTGGAACTTCGTTCCACAGCTGTCGGAGATTTATTGGTCAAGGGAGCAGTGGAGAGAGTCATTCCAGTTCATCCAGGGTTTCATTCCCATCTGTTTGTTGTACTCAAGAAGATGAGAAATTGGTGTCTGGGCATCGATCTTTCTCGTCTAAATCAATTTCTAAGTCCTCCAAAGTTCACAATGAAATCATCCCTCAATTTGCATTGCGGTGCATATCTTAACGGTCAGGAATTCCTCAAGGTCTGGAATTGTTGAAGGGTAAAGTCTTTTTTGAGTCTCCTGTGCTCTCTGGCCTCCTCAAATCATTTCAGGTCCTTCCTTCCAAACGACCTTTTCAGTTACCTAGCTGGGACATAAAGGGAGTGATACATGCTTTTTCTCAACATCCTTTTGAGGACTTAGCTTCTGTACCATGTATCACCTTTTCCTTAAGGTTTATTTTTTGTTGTTGCTGGCCTGCAGATGTCAACGGTCAGAGTTGTTTGGAATTCATGTGCACAGGACACTTTATCACTTAACCTAAGTCCTTTTATACCCAGACACATCCTTCTTACCTAAGAGATAGGCAGTTATGGAAGGGGATAAATCATTTTCATCAATTCATCTGACAGCTATTTCTCACCTCTGTGACCGATTGGATCCCAATCATTTGTTATGTCCAGTGAGGGCTTTGATGTGTCATGTAGGGCCTTGGTTAAGCACAGTTTGTTCCACGTCCTCCCCATAATTGTGGGGGCAAGTGGAATTTACTTTGCTCACACAGTTGGGGAGTGAGGATGAGTGTTCATGATTCCATACCTGATGAGTCCTGTTGTCTCAGGTTGAGTAAGGCATACAAGATTCCACCATTCCAAGCCTGGGGTGTTGCCTGTTGGAATTCTTCAGGTTGTGGAGAAGTTTTTGTATGGATAAGGCCCTCACCAGCCCCTCCACTTTATCCATATTGGATTCTAGCTATAGTGTTAGAAAAGGTAAGTATGTTTTGGAAACTAACATTTTCGTAAATCAAAAATGTATTTCCAATAATACTTAGCTCTACTCACAGCTCTACTAAGAGCAGGTGTTAGAGACTGCAGATTAGGCCAGTCTAGAAAAAGTGATAATATTATCGGAAGAAGGTGGTTATATACAGTACCAAGATAGAGGGTGCATTGACGTAGGTGTAGAGTGTCATGAGACAGATATCACCAAGGACAATTAAGTGGGAATAAAAGACTGGGGCAAGTAAAAATCAGACCAATGCTGAAATGGGCAATGGAAGAAACCCTGGCAGTCAAGTAATAGCTGTAGTGTAAGTAGAGGTAAGTATTATTGGAAATACATTTTTAATTTAAGAAATTGTTAACTTAAATTTTGAATGTAACTCAGTACCATACACAGAAAGGAAGTTAAAAATGTCATGAGAGACCATAGGGTTAACCCAATGAGGTTATCCATCAAAGACACCAGTCCATCTTAAATAAAACCTCTCAGTTAAATTATGAAATGGAAGGGAATCAAAATCATGAAACTTAACCTTTAAAAAATGAGGTATATGAAATGAATAATTTCAATGAGTTTACTTAATTTTATTATAGTACATATAACATACCTATTCAGATTTTGTACTGATGATTTGTCTAATAAAACTAAATCCAACTCAGTTGTAGGTACTACATTACATCTGTAGATTTTGCTGTGTATATTCATTATAAACAATTCTGAATATATTCTGTTTAATATTTAGACATATTTTTGCTTTTTTTTAGCTCAAAAGGAGAAGATAGTACAGATGTGCAGGTTGTAAAATATCGAAAGATGTTGAATAAATTAATACTAACAATATTTACAGACATCAAGAAAGGTAAGAAAGTACTTGAAAATAATCATACATGTATTGATATATAACATTATGTTTAAAACAGAATTTTATTGTAGAAAGTCTAACATTTTTATAATTAAGTACATTGTTGGGTGGTGGTAGTATAATTTACATGTAAGTAAAAACTGAATATTGACACACAATCCTGTAAAGTAAAAGGTTTTGTGAAACAAAGTGTTGTGTTCCCCAGAAAAATGAACCAGTGATCCAAGAGGTGTCACATTGCCCTGATTCAAAATACAGTATACTTTCTTTAGCTTACATATTATAGTAGTCAGGATTGAAAGTTTTCTGCTTAGGACATGAGCCCTGGTAATTCATTTGGTTAGAATATATATATATACATTTATACCAAACCAATAATGTGTCAACCAGGGTTGTTGGATTCTATCTCCAGACATAGTTAGAATATATATATATATATATACACACATTTATACCAAACCAATAATGTACAGGGTTGTTGGATTCTATCTCCAGACATAGTTAGAATATATATATATATATATACACACATTTATACCAAACCAATAATGTACAGGGTTGTTGGATTCTATCTCCAGACAGGACAGATTGCTTTTCCTCTATTTCTGATAATTAGACTGTGTTTAAATGGAGCTCGGAAGTGCTGATGCTATAATTTTATGCTCCCCATGAAGTTGTAAAGCTGAAATGTTGGGCAAGTAAAACAACTTGAAAGATTTTGTGGAGTTCACTGTCATTTTATTTGTTCATAAACAGAAAAAAAGGTTGGCAGTGGGTGCTGCCAGACACTTGTCTTCACTCTAGTTAGCAGTTCAAAATTAAGTGACTGTTAATAACTTTGTAATAACAAAGACAGGGTGAGCAAGTTTGGTGACAATATACCGACTACTTAGATGGTTGGAATAATCAAAACTGGTAATAATTAGAACACTAGTTTAAATTAGTAGTTCTTTTGTGACAATCAATTTGATCATAATTTTGAGTGATCAAGTGTTGAAATAATCTGAAACACTACTTTGCAGTTGATCAATTTAATTGTAATCTTGTTTAGTCAATTACTTTATGTGACAATAATTGATATAATTGCTGCTCTAGGTCTAAATGTGTGTAAGAGTATAAACATTGTAAGTTGTATATACCAAAAATAATGTAATAACATCAGTTTAAATAACTAATAGTAAGCATGCACTCAGTTTGTGTGTCAGGTTATGATGAGTAAACACAATTGTATGTTGTGACTCTCACAAAAACTCCATGCTGTAGTGCAATAAAGAGGTGTGGCATAGCAGCATGGGCAACTGTTTCATACATTATTTTTTTCGACTGATATTGCATATTGTAAACCATAGATTTTTTTTGATCCCCTGGAAACAAAATTAACATGATTTGAGCATATGAAATTTTTGAGCCCTTTGATGACATTAAGTTCTGTCTATCAAGAGACAAGCCACTTGTTGTACCAGTTTACGTAAGTTGAAATTATATTTGAGTTGCATAAAAATATATATGTTATATAAAAATCAGTCTTTGCTTTGTCTTATGAAAGAACATTTTCCACACAATTACACCACCTTTAGTACTTGCATTGTCAGAAAAACATATGCAATGCAATTATCTCTCTATGTTTTTCACAATTTTATTCTAATATAAAGATAGGATGAATTGTTGCTCATCAGACCACATCATCTGTTTCCAGTCATTCATTGTCCAGAGTTGTGTTCTAAGCATGTGTTTGCCTAGACACTTTTAGATGGGTTGCTGTTTGTTGTAATGTCCTTGGCATCGTATGGTTGGACATAATAAAATCCTGGCCATTGTTGAAGAATTTGATAGTTGTATACAGTCTGTTTTATATTTTATTTTACCTGCTTGTCCATTTGCCTTTTCATTCAGTCAGTGACCAGCCGTTGGTGGACATTTTTAGTCTTTTTTTCTGCCAATTTACATAAACTCAGATTAGAGGCATCTGTGAAAACCCAGTGAAATAAATGGTTTCTGGGAATGATGATCCAGCACCTTGCCTCATATAGGTGTATTGTAATCAGCTGAACCTCCAATTTTGCATGTTTTTTGAAAATCTTTTTATGTTTTTATTCTTTTCATACTATATTTTGTAAGATCTTGCTCCTGGGAATACATCATATATTTTTTTGGACCATCTCGTCTTCAACATAGATTCAGCTCTGAAGAAGCACTTACTTGCAGGTGCCCTTGTATGTCAGGTTTTAGGCAATCTAGTATATTATTTTGGGACCAACTGTTGAGTTTAGGGGACTCCATTGAGACCCACCATACTTCCAGTGCTTATTATATTCTTTATGGTCTCTTAGCACTGATGTATTTCAATAGCCTTTTTACATGCCCTTTGACTTCTTTCCTTCTCTGCTTTCTCGGGTTAGGTCATGTGAGAATTCTAGCTCAAAAGCTATGGTAGAGATAAGTTCTTGTATCTAAAATTTTTACTAAAAAATTAAATTCAAATAGATTTTTAACTCTACCATAGCCTCCTCCCGCATATGAAAGATTTGTACGACACCCTTCTTAAACGAAAGATCTCTATCATGCTCTACTCTCTTGGGAGATTTCTTGGAACTTACCTCTACCATACCTACTTTCTCACTGGAGCTGCTAATCGAGCAATCGACAGCTTCATTAATAAATTACATTAAAAAAACAAAAATGCTGGCAGAAGGTGCTGCCAACCAGTTGTCTTTGCTGTAGTCAACAGTTGATCAGAAAAAAGTTTTGTTGTTGGGATCTGACAGTCAATTGCCTTCCCTCTAGTCAGCAGTTCAAAATTAGTGACAGTGGCTAATAGCCTTTGTCATAATAAAGATAGGTTGAGCAAGTTTTGTGGCAATATTTTGATTACCTGGATAGTTGGAATAATTGGAAATCCTAATTTCGATTAGTTGATTATTTTCATGATAACTGGTGTAATTGAAATTTCAATTAATTGATTGTTGGAGTCATCAAAAATAACAATAATTGGAAACACTAATTTTGAGTTTCAATCACTAATCAGTAGAGGGGAAGGAGGAAAGAGATTAACAGAAAGGTCATTAGTTTTGCAGTTGATCAGGAGAATAGCTAAAATGTTTTTGTAAAAGTAAGTATTTATTTAAAGGCTATTTTCAGATTATGTTAACTTTACAAATTCAGTTGTAATTTGCTTTGCTAAATTTTATTTTTTCCTGCATTTTGGAAAAAAAAGAAGTACGTGCTCAAATAATGTTTTAATGCTTACTACATGTAAATGTAGATTTAAGGTTATTATTAGAAATAGTAGCTCATAGAAAGTTCAATCATACATTGGATTTTTTTCCAATTGTGATTTGCATTATGATAATTTTTATGATAACTACCTATATTACTCCAGTTCTGAATGGCACATCCTAAAGTAATTCATTTTCAAACATTATGTTAAAATGTTTGGAATTATTTTTATCAGAATTATTTTAACATTATTTTTGTACCTCCCGTGTCATATTCAGTTATGAGTTTAAATTAAGGAGCACATAATATGAAGAAAGTAGTACATGCATGTTAAACGTTTCAGTATTTACTGTCTGCAAGTTCTGAACCTGTTAAAATTGCTTTGTCAGAATACCCTCTGAAATGTTTAGTTATGTGTATGAAGCAGCAAAATCTTGGTTAATACATATGCTAATCTTTATATCTCTGTACATCAGTTGTGTACTTTAATTTACAGTTGCTGAAGATCTGGAAAAGCAAGCTCCAGTGTCTCCAACTCTTTTAACCTGCGTTAATAATTGTAGAGAAGAATTTCCTCACATTTTTGTCATGGAAAGACTGAGGAAGAAAGACCAGGAGCATATGGAAACTGATGTTGGAGATATTAGCAACCTGACTGTGACAACTCTGTCTAGTGATAATCAAGGTGTTTTAGCTTTAGGTAAGTTGTTGAATTGTAAAGTACTTTTGTGATATGCCTTAGAATTTATTCTTTGATTGTGTATGTTGCAGTAGCTTGGTAGTTTCATCACAGTTAGCTTTTTTATAGGTATTTTTCTTCTCTTTTTTACTGATATTTCCTGAATTTTGTGTTCAATATTAATCCTATCCATCCCTGAATATCTCATGTTTTTTACAAGAGCAAATTGATCTCAAGTTTTGAAAATTTGTGTGTGATAATTAATCCAAAAATTACATAAATGAAATGTTATGGTTTCTTTGTCTGGATACAGTAATTCACAAAAATTCCAAATTACTAACCATAAATTTGTAATGTTTAATTATATTTGTTAAATTTCCTGCATTCTCTGATACAGTTTGTCAGTATATAAAACAAAGTCAGAAATCTGTAAACTTAGTTCAACTTTGTTGCTTGTTATTAGCTCAAATAATTTAAAAACTATATTTTTCAAGTTGATGTCAAAAAGTGTAAAATTCTCTTTTTTGCCATTGATTTGCAATAGACCTCCCTTCCTTCCTTATGTGAATGAGAAAGTTTTAAAAATTCACTACTACATCTCAGGCATCTTGAAGCTTTGCAGGGTTAGTGCCTTAAAATAATGTAAGTGTCTAGTACTTTTGTATGGGATGGCAAAGGTAAAATATTAACTTAACAGGCTTCCCTGCATTTATATTTATTTTGTTGAAGTAATTCTTTTGCAGTTTATGTTTTGTATAAAAGAACTCGTGCTGTTGTAACTTGAAACAAACTGTGAGCAGGAGCTTCATATGAAGTCCCTCAGGTGAAGGTACAGACCACGAGGGAATGTAGTCTTTTTGAACAGCATTTCATAAGTTAGTAAAAGAGGGGAAAGATAAGTTTTATGTATAAGATAGAATAAAATAAATACTATTTACGTTAGTATACTAGCTACCTCTGACTTTGCATTAATAAAATTTATAACTCATAAAATTCACGATATTTGAAACAAACACTAAACGCTAGATAATAAAGATGGGGCCTATTGAAACATAAATTTAATTTCTTTGGTCAATTTATGATTTATAATACAATAAAGACCACTACATAACATAGCAGTGAAGAATTGTTTAAAGCATTAATGCTATTTGAAACATATGTTCCAAAATATACTTACCTGCTCTCACACTACAGCTATTACTCAACTGCCATGGTTTCTTCCTTTGCCCATCTAAGCATTGTTCAGGTTTTTCTCACTTACTCCAGTCTTTTTTTGTAAATTGTAAGACATTCTGTCATGATCTCTGTCTTCACCAAAGAGGTGAAATTTGTAACTAGTGTTCACAGTAGCCTCAAATTACAAAACGTTTGAGTTATTGTAAACAGAAATGTAACTGCCAAAGCAATTACTTCAGTAAAATAAATGTATACAAAGGGAAACTCATTAAGTTAATTTATTACTGTTATGTGGCATACAAGTAATAGATGCCCATTACTAAATAGCACTGTATTTGAATGTCTGAAGGCTAGTCAGGCAGCATTTAAACAGTGTCTGATTTTTTCTCTCTTGTTAACAGAAGCTGTTTGATAATGATTGGGCAGTGACCACACATTAAGTGTTGCTCACTTGGACAATTCTATCTTTTTGTTTGTATAATTTCCACCAGAATGCTATACATAACAACTCCTTCTGTGCATTCAAGTAGAGAATTATGGTGGAGCTTAGAGGGGATACAATTAGTGGCTTTATTTCTTCAATAAAGTGTTCTGAATGCCTAGAATACAATATGTAAGAGAAGTGTTATGGTGAAATAAGTATGAAACATAAAATTGATAAAAAGTAATCTTTATTGTATGTTAGTATTGTCAATGCAGTGCAGTTGCATATGGTGTTTCTCAAATCAACATAGAAACTTATATTACAGAAACAAAGCTGTAAAATAATGTAGGACAGTATAAAAATCTAAAAAAATTTATTGATGGAAATAATGGACCAAATGATTTTTGTACTGTTAAAAATGTCATTTTTGAAATGACATGTACCCAGTGTGATGATAGATACATTGGTGAAACCATTCGTCCAGGACATGAATGGTATAAATAACACATCCATGCTACAAGGAATCTGGATCCTCAAGAGGCCACTAACAAACACTTTTTAATGAAACATGGTACAATAAATAAAACACCATTTAACATTAAATGTGAAATGTAATATTTTCCTTGATTGTAAATTCAGAGTCTCCTGATTCATTCTTATAAGCCTAAAATAAACAGAAGTAATTTTTGGCCATTTTAATTATTGTTATTATAATTTTGCTATTTGTTATTTTCTGTTGCTTAATCATTCCATTACATTACCCACGAGCCGCTCATGTACATGTCTCATGAAATATTTTTATTATGTTATTATTATTTATTTTACCTAATTTAATCTTAACTAACCAAAAATATCCTTATTTTTACATTTTAATGACTTTTATAATAATAAATGAAGAACATACATGAAAAACAAGAAATATAGTGCTTACTCAATCTTCTTTTTTCTTGCTGTCGATTGTTGATGACAGTTAACACTACTTTTATACTAATGGTAATAATGCACTAAATCATTTTTATTTAATTAAATAATACACCAAAGAACATAAACTAATAACATGCAAAAAGTAGACAACTTTTTGCTGGCTTTCTAATTATACGACAAGATTCTGTACAAATTCTTCCAAGCTAGTCGTTACTGTTCCCACGTGAATGAAAGCTGTACTACAATGCATCATTTGACAGATGAAAGCCGTAGCTTTCTTTTGGTTATAGATAATGTACAATTAAACATAAGAGAGAACTATTAACAAATCCTGAAAGAGGATGTGACAGGTGGGTATGGCAGGAGGGATCTGACTTTCTGTTTGATAGCTCTGTAAATAAACAAAATGGAAGGCTATAAAAATTATAGTTTGTCTGAGCAATGACAATTTTATAGTGAGTAATTTACATTTAATTTAGTACTTATTGGGGGAGTAGTGGATAAAATAGAGAAGATGCCTAGGGAAAATGTATTGTGTTTCACACAAGGGGAAATTCAGGATTTTTTTGAATATTGCTTTATAGAAGTAAACTTGAAACTTGTATACTATTTAAATATGGATTGTTAGCTAAGATTTTATGCTATACTAATTAGTATAACATAAACAAAAAGTAGTTTAATAGAATTTTGAATATAAGACACTAAAATCTTATGTTATACGCAGTAAAGGATATCCATAGTGATAAGGTTAAGTGCTCCATAATTTACATTAGCTAAACTGCATGAAACAACTACATGATTCGTGCCAGAAATATGCCCAACTACTTTCATGATCCTCTCCATAATATGAATATTCTTGTCTTTTAAAGAATCAGATAAAAAATGCTTTGCAATATCATTTAGTGAAATATGGTATTATAAGAGAGAAGCAACATGGATTTAGTTACAGGAAATCTTGTGTGACTTATTTGTTAACATTTTTTAGGATGTTAGATGTTTTCCAGATGATGGAAATGTTGTGGCCTTGGTGTACTTAAGTTTCTAAAAAAAAGCTTTTGATAACGTACCACACAGAAAATTAACCAAGAAAATTGGCAGTGGTTACAGAAAGGTTATTTATTTTATTGAATGGTGACTAGGTGAAAGAAAGCAAAATATGGTGTTATTAATGACATCTATTCAAAGTTGGTCTTTTTTACTTGTGGTGTACTTTTTTTATCCTACAAAATACTAAAATCATTTGTTTCTAACACACTTTGGGTCGAGTCGAGCCCTAATGTCGCTCATGCATACCCGAAGAAAGCTGAAATCTGCAAGCTAGACATGTATGTATGTGGTAATGATTGCTATATTTTTTATTCATAAAAACAAACAGATGTTATAAGTGTTAAATATTGTTTAATTTCTTTAAATTAATAGTATTTAATTTAACTTAAGGCCTACAACCTTACTTTAAAGTAACATTATTATTTATTACAGAGGTGTAATTTAGGCCTACAGTTAGCTTATACTTACCTTATCTTGTATATTAGGCCTGTTAGGACTTCATCTGTAAACTACAATTATGAATGTGAAGGGAATAAGCCTATGTCTAATATAACAAAATGTACCTTTCAATGAACTGAAATCATAGAGCTATTTAGTAAAGACTCGTGTCCACAAAAAGTAACAGTTTTTGCTGAAGAAGTCGGATATTTTTTTGAGACTGTTAATGGTTACTTCTTTATATTAGGTTATTTTTTTTTTCTTTTCAGTACACGATAAATAGTGAAATGGCTGATAAAAACATTTCTCTGAATGTACTTAAAAGAAGAATTTTTACAGAAGGATTAACTGTTAAAACAAAAAAATGCAGAACATCAGACGCTATGGAGACAGAATAATTTTACAGCATGGAGAAATCAAGAAGTTTATAGAAAGAGAAACAAATGTAAAACAACATTCACTAAACGTTTTCAGAGATGTTTTATAAAGGAATATTTAATATACGGGACTTAGAAACCGACATTATATTTTATTAAATGAAACAGTAAATTTACGAGCTAAGCGAGTTGGAGTATCTAGTTTACTTTAATGATATTGGTGAGGATGTAGTAAGTAAAATAATAAAGTGTCCCAATGACATTATGCTTGGGTATTTCAAACTGTATTGAGGGTGGAAGATTCCGAAGTACTACAGAATGACTTAAATCAACTGTAAGTTGGACAAATAACTTATGGACACAAGGAACAATTTGGACCATTAAGGCTGTCCTTACACTCCCACCTGGTTGCAGGAGAATGACACTTGTCACCAAACATTCTTGCTCTTTCATCCAGGGAGATGTTATAATACTATGGTCAATCCTATTCTTCATTGATGAAGAGTTAGTGGTGGGTGATGTTGACATGCCATAGTTTACCACTTCAAGATTAGGGATGGCTAATGCAGACAGCTCTCAAGCAGTTTTGCACAAAAGTTCAACAAACAAATAAACCCCCCCTTTGTTTATCATGA